CTACAATGCACATTACGGGGGTCGGTGGGATGGTGGGGAGGGGGTGAATAAAATGGAATATTAAGTGCACCGTACACAATGGAGTCGGTAGTATTTGGATAAAACTATTGTAGAGAGCACTTAGAAGTGTTCGCACCGCACACGAAAAAATGTGATGACATACATGGATAAAAGATGGGGGAACCTACACAAGTAAACCTCACACTGGAATAATGCACCATATACTGCTTCGGAATGGTATAATCTCCACAAAGTCACATTAAACATTACACTTTCTATATTCTATACAAAAGCCATATAAAATATGACTCGATGCGACTCATGGTTTTAGGTAGCCTACACGACTTCGACAATATGACAACTATGGTACAACGTGTCGAATTAACCTCTGTGCATTATCCCAGGTGAAGAGGTCCACTGCTTGTACAACAGCTGGGTACATACTAAAGAGATGGACAAAACGGAACGTCTAAATCGGCGATCTACGAAACTGGCTAACTATGGGGGACAACGGACGGACAAGTCGAACAACGGGCGCTGGGAGAGGGGGAGAGGGGGAGAGGGGACACTGAGGGGTGTACTAGAGGGGGCGAGGGGGTACTGGAGGGGTGACAAGGGGCGTGGAGCAGCTCACCAGTGTCGTGAGTCCCGCGGCCAACTGGATGTGCTAGAATAGACAGATCACGGTCACTTTCAACACAGTACACCACTAGTTCTGTCTCGGCTTAACTAGTATGGTACATCAACCCTCACTTTTATAGATTTCTTTTTCTTTTTTTATTAATTGTGGTTGTGGAAATTTGGGATTTACTTGCTGACTACTTCTCCAATAAACACCAGTGAACATATAAAACACCAAAAGATAACCGAACAAAAGAAGAAAATAGAAAAAAAAGTGAGGAAAGGATTCTTTAGGACTACCTATAACACGGTGAATTATAAGTGTGGCACTACATCCACACTGGCATATCAAATGTCACAGTTAGTGTGTCACACTTTTAACAGATATGTTTAGGGGGATTCTGATTCTGATAGTTTATTTGTAGCTTTTAATGCGCTCAAGCCGTGGATGCGACAGCGAGCGAGTGGGTAAAACCTTTTACGCAAACGCGAAATCGTTCTTTAACTTTGCATGTAAGGCTAATGGCAGAGTGCAATCTCACAATGGCTTACTGAGCATGCAGAAAAAAAGACCTGAGCTGCTGCATATGGGCTTAAAACGTTAGGTTTGTTGGCAGGTTTACTGACACAAGTTCAAGTATCTGAACACAAGATCTCTGAACAAAAGAGATATGCCTGTACACATCCAATCACAACATGCCTGTCCATGTGTCCACACCGAAACCTGTGTCCAGTGCGACTCCGCCACGCCAACCCAAGGGCGCTTTAACACCCACCAGGCACGAGGCGGGCGAGGCAGGCTGGATTTATATCACAGAGGGAAACCCCGACGGCGTTCGCGGAGGAAGCCGACCATGAACACAACGCCGGCTTACGAAATCTGTCGGCTGCACTTGCTCCACTATGGCCTGACTGATTCCATGCACGTTATCCTCATTTCCCAAAGTGGGCTGGATATTGAGGTGTATAAAATACGTAACTTTATCTGGTCGCGAATGTTGAACAGCAACAATGAAAATGACCAGCCCTAAAACGTGGTCCGAATATCTACTAGATTTTTTTTTTTTAACGCGTCCTATCTTGGTCACATCTTACGAAAATCCGGGCGTGAAAACAACTTATAATGAGCTTCCTAAAACTATAAAATACAAAAAGAAAGACAAAGACAAAATATAAAGAACCTAATGCATAACTAACAAGAACGAAGCGAAGTAGGCCTACATAAAATGTCAAAACCGTACAATATCTACCTCATCGGCCTCCTGCAAGTCCCTATCAGTTTCACTCGCTTATCACGCCATGTTATCCTAGTTATCTCAGCCAATGCTCCTCTAGAGAACCCCCAAACGTAACCCAAAATCGACCTGTGCTCTTGAGTAAAAACACCTGGCCTTTTCCCTCTTCTTCCCTTGCTTTCCTTCCTTCTTCAGCATCACGTTCCGAGTTTACGTTCACGTAGAACGCTCCCTTTCTTTTTTGCTACTCAACCGAGTGTCTGACTAGGAAGAAAAAGAAAAATATGACGGGAAAAATGCTGTGAGGGGAAAAAAGAGGAAAAACCTCGCTCATAGACTCCCTGAAGGTGAAATAATTATAAGACTAACCTTACTAACAAAACCATTAATAATAATAATAATAATAATAATAACAATAATAATAATAATAGAATATACATAGCCTAACATCACAACCACCCGCTGAAACAACCCCGCCATTTTCACAAATCCCGCGTATGTCCTTCGCCGTCAACATCAAACATAAAAAGTATTTAGAAAATAATATAGAGTGAAAGGCATATCACTTACCTTGGGATTCTTGAGCTTGGAGCAGTCCGAAATCTGGTCTTTGCAAGAATTCTCGTGCACGCACACCTGGCAAGCTGCGAAAAGAGGAGGGAAAAGATGCATGGATTAGAAAGAGGAGGAGGAGGAAGAAGAGAAAGACGAAGGAGTTGCCTTCTATAATATTTATTCATTCACGGACAGACGACCTAAAGAATGTTAATTTGTGGCACCTCACATCTTGCGTAAAAATAGACTAAGCATTAGTTTAGGGAGGTTTACATAAATGTAACTATAAATATATATATATAATATATATATATATATATATATATATATTATATATGTATATATATATATAAATATATAATATATATATTATACATAAATATATACAAATATATATATAACATATAAATATAAATATATAATATATATAAAATATATTATAATATAATATATATATATATATATATATATACATATATATATATATATATATTATATATATAACATATATATATATACATATAACCTATATAATATATATATATATATATATATAATATATGTATTATACATATATATAATCATATATATGTATATACATGTATGATAATTATAGATAGATAGAATAGAGAGATAGATAAGAGAGATACATACATATATACATACATATATATATATATATATAATATATATATATTTATATATATATATATGTGTGTGTATATATGTGTATATGTATGTATGTATGTATCTATCAATATAGATCAATAATGATAATGGCGATGATGGTGAAGCCATGCTCAATAGGACGGTCCGCGCTCGCCTCCTAATGAGCAGACCAAGCGTCCCGAAATGGAACACGGGTGGCAATAGCAACACTCCCCCCCCAAAAAAAAAAAGAAAAAAAAAGTACGCCTTGGCTCTGGACACGGGAGTCACTACGTGAAATAGGAGGAGGAGGAGGAGGAGGAGGAGGAGGAGGAGGAGGAGGAGAAGGAGGAGGAGGAGAGAGGAGGAGGAGGAGATAGGAGGAGGAGGAGGAGGAGGAGAGGAAGGAACGACGACGACGGTGGTGGTGCCATGATAATGATGGCGAACGATGATAAAAGAAAATGAGAGATGATTAGCGATCACCTCCGGCATAGCAGACCAGAACAATAAAGCAAAGGTCAAGGAAATGCCGCTCATGCAACAAGCCGGCTACAATTTTACACAAGAAAGGGAATTTGGGAACCCAGGAGCCAGGGCGAATAATGCACACCACAAAAAAGACAATATTCCTTAATATTCCTTCAATCAGCAAAGAAAAATACTGAAAAAATGCATAGAACTACATGAAGAAATTTAAGAAAACAAAGGAAAAGGAAATATTTTGGTAATATACAGTAACTTGTGAATACAAAATATCTATTTTCTTTCTCTGCGATCGCTGCTTACCATAATCGTTATCATTAATATCATTAATTCTATAAGCTTACAGATATATACTATCGGCTTCTTTACATCAACACTTTCACCTCTATTATCAGTAGTTATGTAAGTTGCAATATCAAAATCAACCTCATAATATCGACAGAAAGAGAGAAAAAATATATGTATTTATACGTAATAACTTGTAAGTAAATTGTTATCGTTTATGATAGATGTCAAGATATAAACATTCTATCCCCCTCCTAAAATACTTGAATACTTTTCCATTATTTTCTTTGTCATGTAAACTCTCTTACTATCTCTCTGTCTGTCTCTTATTGATTCACTCTGCCTTTCGTTATTCTCTCCCATCCATCCATTCATCCATCCTTCCTCCTCCCTCTCACTCCCTTCCTCTCCCTTCCTTCTTCTCTCCATCCTTTCCCCTCTCTCTTCTTCCACTTGCTCCCACATCCTCATCCTCACCTCCCTCCCTCCCTCTCCCTTCCAACTTCTTCCCCCTCCCTCCCCCTCTGCGCGCTCTTCCCCCCCCTCCCCTCTGCCTCGCCTCTCCCCTCCCTCCCCCTCTGCCTTCGCCCTCTCCCCCTCCCTCCCCTCTGCCTTCGCCCTCTTCCCCCCTCCCCCCTCTGTCGCCCTCTCCCCTCTACCTCGCCCTCTTCCCCTCCCTCCCCCTCCCTGCCTCCCTCTCGCCCTCTCCCCCTCCTCCCCCTCTGCCTCGCCCCTCCCTTCTGCCTCGCCCCCCCCCCTCTGCCTCGGCCTCTCCCTCTCCCTCCCCTCTGCTCGCCCCCTCCCCTCTGCCTCGCCCTCTCCCCCTCCCCTCCCTCCTCTGCCTCGCCCCTCCCCCTGCCTCGCTCCCCCTCCCCCTCTGCCTCGCCCTTCTCCCCCTCCTCCCCCTCTGCTCGCCCCTCCCCTCTGCCTCGCCCTCTCCCTCCTCCCTCCCCCTCTGCCGTCGCCCCCTTCCCCTCTGCTCGCCCCCCTCTGCTCGCCTCTCCCCCTCCCTCCCCCTCTGCCTCGCCCTTCCCCCTCTTGCCTTCGCCCTCTCCCCCTCCCTTCCCCCTCTGCTCGCCCCCTCCCCTCTGCTCGCCCTCTTCCCCTCCCTCCCCTCCCTGGCCCCCTCCTCCCTCTGCCTCGCCTTCTGCCTCGCCCTCTTCCCCCTCCCCCCCTCTTTAGCCCTCCCTCCCCTCTCCTCTCCCCCTCCCTCGCCTCTGCCTCGCCCTCTCCCCCTCTGCCTCGCCCTCTGCCTCTGCCTCGCCTCTCCCCCTCCCCCCTCTGCCTCTCCCCCTCCTCCCCTTCTGCTCCCCCTCCTCCCCCTCGCCTCGCCCTCTCCCCCTCTCCCTCCATGACATTCCCATCGAACCCCGCACACGAAGAAAGCGAGCACCGGACCAAGAAAACGTTAGAATCTAAAAGGCAAAAGAGACTTTCAAATCACCCCCTAAACTCCTCCCTCCCCCTCCCCCACCCCTCCCCCAGACACCCCCGCCCGGCCCCTCCCCTCCCGCTCCCACGAGCAGTGCAGTCGGCTGCTGCATTAACATTTTAATATCCAGAGTAAATATCCGGTGTTCAAGATGATGTGAGAAGGCCAAGAAGGAAAAGGAGGAGGAGGAGACGGAGAAGGAAAACGATAAGGAGGGGAAAAAAAGAGCAAGAGAAGAATAGGAGTAATAGAAAGAAAACGAAGTAAAGGAAAGGGAAGAAATTGAGGAAGAATGATAAGAAAACAAGGAGGAAGAAAAAGAAGAGGAAGGATAAGTAGAAAAATTAAAATAAGGAAATGGAAATAGAAAACGGCGATAACAAAACCGAAAAGAAAACTAGAAAGAGAGAAAAAATCCCACACGCACGTCCTTCCCTCACCTCGTTAACGCGCGCGAGAAAGCGAGCAATTTTTCAACTGAACACCACGATGTTCATCTTAGCACTTACCTTGCATGCGAAGACGGAAGGAGGAGGCAGAGAGGGAGCGGGAGGAGGAGGAGGAGGAGGAGGAGGAGGAGGAGGAGGAGGAGGAGGTGGAGGTGGAGGAGGAGGAAGAGAGAAAAGCAGAGAGCGGAGGAGGAGGAGGAGGAGAGGAAGAGGAGAAAGAGCAGGGAGCGGAGAGGAGGAGGAGGAGGAGGAGGAGAGGGAGGATATGATATTGATGTTAAAAACTTTATTTAGCCAAATATAATTATACATAGTACACGAGTTTGGAGGAGAGAAAAGGGGAAGAAAAGAGGAAGAGAAAAAGAGGAGGTCAGAGAGGGGGAGGAGGAGGGAGATGAAGACAAGGAAGAAGAGGAGGAGGAGGGCGAAAAGGGGAGGACTGCAGCCCTTTGTTCCTCGATAAAAAAGCACACACTAAATCCTGGAGCGAGAGCCTCTACTCTCCGAAATGACCGAGCGAGGAAGCCATTTTTCGGCCACTGGACTACCCTTCGCAGAGGGAGGGAGGGGGGAGAGGGAAGGAAGGCAAGGGAGAGAATGAATGAATAATGAATAAATGAATGAAAGAAGGAGGGAGGAAGACAGCAAGCAAGAGAGAGAGAGGGCGATAAGGAAATTTGATGAATATAGATGAATAGCGACGCGATAACACCAATCTCCCCTTCCGATCAGGGACCAGCGCGAGAGTGAAGGCAGCATGGTAAGAGAGGGAAAGGGGAAGGGAGACGGAGAGAGTGGCCAGATGCGCTCTGTTGGTCAGGGTAATGCCCCCCTCGTGACCTCTGACCTTCTTGACCTCTACAATCACTCGACCTCGACTCGCGGTCCCGCTCGGACGCTGCCTCCCCCTGGGGGCCACCACTCCAGGCGCCCTGCTGGGCCTACCTGCTGCCCGGGTCTACTTCTACCCAGCACGACACTTGCATCTTCAACTTCCGCCCGCACTACCATCTCCAATAAACGTGACGAAACAGACCGTGCGTTTCCCAGAACTACCACGCCAGGGACCCAACAAGAACCCCCTGACAGATTGGTGGCAGCGGTGGGATAGCCACAACACGACAGTGACAAAGAGCGAGAGAGAGAGAATGAGTGTGCTTGTGCGAGTGAATGTGAAAGTACGAGTGTGAGTTTGTATGATTGTGTGTTTGTACGTATGTAAATACACATGTACATCCATGCGTGTCTTGCTACCTTTCCCGGTGACACTGCCCAAATCAGCAAAAGTCAGGGTGAGAAGTGTCACGTGCAGCAGCAGCAGCAGCCCCCCCCCCCCGCCCCACACCTTTCCCGCACGCGAACGCGAACAAAGGCCCTTATCTGCTTCTGCTTTTTTGTTTTCTGATCGTTTAATTTTCTCTTACTCTGTCAAGTTGATGTATATATTTCTTGAGAGAGAGGGGATGGGAAAGGAGGAGGGAGGAGAAGGAATGAGGGAGGAGGGAAGAAGAAGAGGAGGAGGAGGAGGAGAGAGGTGGAGGGAGGGAGGAGAGAAGGGAGGGAGGGAGCAAGGGAGGGGAGGAAGGGAGGAGGGAGGGAGAGCAAAGGGAGTGAGGGAGAGGGGAGAAAGGAGAAAGAGAGAAAAGAAAAGAAGAAGAGAGAGAGAGAGAGAAGAGAGAAGAGAGAGAAAGAGAGAGAGAGAGAGAGAGAGAGAGAGAGAGAGAGAGAGAGAGAGAGCGAGAGAGAGAGAGAGCGAGAAACAGGCAGAGGCCGAGAGGGAAAACCGGGC